AGCCACTCGCAAAGCGGTTAGTGATGGTGTTAGTGATCGCATGCGTGGCCGCGTCGGTGACTCCGCTCCAAGCTCCCCGTTTGCTCAGCACGGCCCTCGGCACAGCAGCACAGTGAGGCCAGGAGCGCTGCTCCAAACATGGTGCCAGCGCTGGGCAAACCGAGGGAACTGGTCAGCAGCGTGACCCGAATGTGGGGCGCAGGCAAACATGCGAGAGAGACTTCCCTTCTGCTCCCAGAACGCAAACCGGGATGAGAACGCCATGGTGATGTCTCATGGAGCTGCAGCCCTGGCTGGGGAGAGAGGCAGAGGTGAGATGGGCTGGGGACAGCACACAGAAAGCCAAACCATGGCACAGTCTACAGGGATGTGTCCTTCCCCACTGGGGATCCTCAAGAATGGGGTCTGAGCCCACCTGGCCTTGCTCAGCGTACAAACAGTGCCCACAGGAGGAGGTCTGGGGACAGGCAGGTGACCAGTCTGACACCTGACAAAACTCATTGTGCAAAAAAAGCCCCTTCAGTCAGGCCTCAGGATCATGCCCCCATTCCCCTGAGCAGGCCAGCCTGCTGTAGTAAGCAAATGCCAGGGTGAGGGAAGGGATATTTTCTACCCCAGCTCTCTGCTTGCCCTGACAGTCAGGGTTTATTCTGAGCCTGACCCCGTGCCAATAGCCGGGCAGCCCTGATGGGACCCACTGCCCTGGCTGGCACCCACTCTCCAACCCAAAGGGGTTGTGCCTGGGGCCATCGGGGAGAAATCCCCCTCCCAGGGCCAGGCACCGTGTGGAGGAGCACCCGGCCGCCAAACCAACCCGCCTGTCTGGGCACACACTGCCTTGTCCCTGAGGAATCCCCTGTACCCCATCCCCCTCACCACAGTGATTGATACACCAGTGCCGGGAGCACAGGCTGAACACGGGGGTCCAGGAACAAACCTGCCCATGGGCCAAAGCTCCCAAACCCTCTGCTTCCACTTCCAGGCAGCCTGGTACCCCAAAGATCCCCAGAGAGAACTGGCGTTGGAGTCCCCAAAACAAACAAC